AAATTTATTAATAAAGAGCAAAAAGTAATAATTTTACTAATAAGTTAGTAGAAATTACTATTTATTAGTAAAATGTAGTAATAAAGTAGTAGAAATTACTATTTATTAGTGAAATGTACAAAAAAAATTAGTAGAAAATAATTTTTATTAGTAAAATTTACTGATAAATTAGTAGAAAGTATTATTTATTAGTAAAATTTACTAATGCAAAAACAAAATGAAAAATTTACTAATAAATTAGAAAAAATTACTGTTTGTTAGTAAAATTTACTAATTAGTTAGTAGAAATTACTATTTATTAGCAAATTTTACTAATAAATTAGTAGAAAATAATATTTATTAGAAAAGTGCACTAATAAGTTAGTAGAAATTACTATTTATCAGTAAAATTTACTAATTTAAAAACAAAATGTAAATTTTACTGATAAATTATTATGAATTACTATTTGTTAGTAAAATTTACTAATAAGTTAGAAAAAATTACTATTTCTTAGTAAACTTACTGTATTTCAAAAACAAAATGTAAATGTTACTGATAAATTAGTAGAAATTATTATTTGTTAATAAAATTTACTAATAAGTTAGTAAAAATTACTATTCATAATTAAAGTTTACTTATAAGTTTGTAGAAATCACTACTTATTAGTAAAATGCAACAAGAAATTAGTAGAAAATAATATTTATTACCAAAATTTCCTAATAAGTTAGTAGAAATTACTTTTTATCAGTGAAATTTACTAAATCAAAAACAAAATTACTATTTATTATTAAAATTTACTGATAAATTAGTGGAAACTACTATTTATTAGTAAAATTTACTGATAAATTAGTAAAAAGTACTATTTATTAGTAAAATTTACTAATAAATTAGTAAAAATTACTATTTATTAGTAAAATTTACTAATAAATTAGTAAAAATTCCTATTTATTAGTAAAATAGTAATAAAATAAAAATACTAATAAATTTGTAGAAATTACTATTTATTAGTAAAATTTACTAATAAATTAGTAGAAAATAATAATAATTAGTAAAATTTACTGATAAATTAGTAGAAAGTACTATTTATTAGTAAAATAGTAATAAAATAAAAATACTAATAAATTTGTAGAAATTACTATTTATTAGTAAAATTTACTAATAAATTAGTAGAAATTACTATTTGTTAGTAAAATTTACTAATAGGTTAGTAGAAATTACTATATATTATTTTAAAATTTACTAATAAGTTTGTAGAAATTACTATTTATTAGTGAAGTGCACAATTAAATTAGTGTAAATTAATATTTATTTGAAAAATTACTATTTCTTAATAAACTTTAATATTTATTTGCAAAATTTACTAAGGATTTAGTAGAAAGTACTATTTATTAGTAAAATTTACTAATTCAAAAACAAAAATTACATTTTTCTAATATGTTTCTTGAAATTACTATTTATTAGTAAAATTTATTAATTCAATAGAAAAAAGTAAATTTTTCTAATAATTCAGTAAAAATTACTATTTATTAGTAAAATTCACTAATTCAAAAGCAAAAAATAAATTGTACTAACATATTAGTAGAAATTATTATTTCTTTTACTTCAAAAGTAAAAAGTCAGTATTTTATTCAAATTAGTAAACATTTTTACTTATTTAAATTTAGAGAGAATAGAAGAGAATAAAAAAGAGGAGGAAGGAATAGAAGAGAATAGTTAAAAAAACGAAATAGAATAGAAGAAAATATAAGAGAATAGAAAAAACAATGGAACATTGTAGAAAAGAATCGGAAAAAAGAAGAAAATAGAACTAAATAGAATACCTACAGAATAGAAAAAAAGAGATAAAAATAAAAATAGAAGAAAAGAGAATAGAACAGAAATAGAAGAGAATAGAAAGAAAAGAATATAGAATCGCATAGAATGGAGTAAAAAAGTAAAAAAAAGTAAATCGAAAATAAAAAAAGGAAATAAAAGTAAAAAAATAGATAAGTAATTTAATTAGTATAAGAAATAAAGTGCAAGTGAAAAAAAAGAAAATAGAATAAAATACATTAAAATAAAATATAATAGAATTCAATAAAACAGAACAAAATCAAATCCGCAATAATAGAAACGCTAAATTATAAATACATTATATTATTTTAATAAAATAATTACAATGCCTATAAAATTACATAAAATATTAAACATTAAATTATACTCGACGTATTATAGATTAGATTAGATTTTTTTTTATAATTATATGTACATACAATATTGTAACCTCTCTGTTTATAGATTGAATAGCTAAATAGTTCTTAGAAAGTAAAAGCATTTTATTTGTTTCTCGTTGTTTCCTTAGACGCGTTGGAAAATAAAAGAGAGCTGAAGCATCAATTGAATTTTTAAAAGAAGTAATAAAGAATCGCTGATCGAAGGATAAGTAGTCGCCTTAATTACATTGAGATACATAAAATCATATTGAATTTTAAATTCAAAAATTATAGAGATCTCTCATTAGTTTCCCACTTTTGCTTCCTGCTTTCACGTTTTATACATCCTTCGTGATTAAAGATTTAGGAAAAAAGTAAATATGAAGTTGATAAAATTCTTTCATATAAATTATTGAAACTATAAATTGACATTTTCCGCGAAGGACACTTCTTATGTAAACATTAAATTAGAATTAAAATTACTTTTAATGTTACATGTAGCTTTCTGTGAATATTTCTGATTTGTAATTTTTTACAGGAATTGTGAAGTAAAAATATAGTAAATAAAAATGTTACATAATAGTTCTTACATAATAGGTTTTTAATTCTTAAATAATTGTAACTTAATTGCTAAATAATAGTGGCATTAATATTAATGTTGCAGAATAGTAACATTGTTGTTACAAAATTATAAACATTAATATTTTAAATTTTCGATTTTTGGTTTTTTTGTAAATTTATGTTGAAATTAATATTTCAGAAAAATTCAATTATTTTCATAGATAATTAAAATTTTATAGTAGTTCAATTATATTTACAATTTTTTACAAAATTTCTTCTCAATAATTTGAATTATTTTCATAAATCAAATTTTTCACATGGATTCAATTATTTTCATAAATAATAAAACTCTTTGCAGAATTTTAATTATTTTTAATACAAATTTAATTTCAATTCTGTTGAAATTAGTTAAATTTTTTTAATATGTATTTATTGTTTAGAAAAATTTAAAATCAATTTTTAGAAGGAAATCAATTATCTTGATAAATATCAAATTTCTTTCTAAAAATTCAATTGTTTTCAAGAATTTTAATAAAATTCTTTGCAAAATTCAATTATTTTTATAAATAAAAATATAAATCACGAGATTAAAATTATTTTTAAGAGCAATAAAATTATTTTCAATTATCTTTAAAAACAGCGAAATTCTTCGCTAGAATTCAATTATTTAAAGAAATGTTAATAAAATTCTATGCAAACATATTTAATTATTTTTAAAAATAATAAAAATGATTTATTTAAATAATTGAATTCTCGTAGAATATTCTAATAAAAAATTGATTTAAAAATGAATTTCCAAATAATTGATTTATTATTCATGAAAATAATTCAATTCTTGCATCGAATTTTATTACACTTTTTCTTAATAATTGAATTCTTTTGAGAAATTTTACTAATTGTAAAAATAAATAAATAATTGAATTCTTGCGAAGGATTTTATTAGGATTTTTGTAAATAATTAAATTTTTTTTTTGAAAAATTTTATAATAATTTAAATTATTATAAAACATGAAGAAATTTATCACTTCAAGTCGAATTGATATTTTAATGTTTTATAAAAAAATTTTGATAAGTTTTTAATTTCCAAATGGTGAAATTGAATCTTTTGAAGAATTTTAATTCGTATAGAAAAATAATAATTATTAAATATAATTATTTAAAAAATAAGTTACTGATTGCAAATAATTTTACAATTAAAAAAATTTGTAAATAAATATTATAGAATAATATTAATAATATTACATAATAGTAACATCAATGTTACACATTATTAACATCAATATATTACTTATTAGTAAAAATAATGTTATATAATAATAACAACACTAATTTGTCATAGTGTACATTCAATGTTACATAAACGTAATTTTAATTTACAACGCAGTACTTATAGAACATTTTTTCATTCAGAATGTCAACAAGGAATGTTACAATAAATAAAGTCTCTTTATTCTTCGGAAGTTTCTTTTCTTTTTTTTCAGTATATTTAAACTTAAAAAAACACTCATCTAATAAATAAATAAATTTATCAACACAAATAAAAAATTAATTAAAATCGCTTTGGTTTTAAGCTGAATTAATCGAAAATAGTTTTTGACAAACAAAAAAAAAATGGGACATAAATTTTTATCCCATATAACTATATTTATTTTTTATATACAAGTGGAAACTTTCTTTTTGAACGTCTATAAGAGTTATTTCAGCTTAAAAATAAAAAAATTCAGTTTACATCACAGCACTTTTATAAGTCAATAAATAAGAAATATAGTATTTATATTTATAGTAAAATTTAAATGCCCTCACGATTATATGTATATATTTAGTTGAAAGGAAAAGAATTAAAACTTAAAGAACATTATTACGTTCTTTGGTTAAATATACATTTAAATTAAGTAACTGAAAATATATTTATGAAAAATTCTCTAAATGAATACAAATACAAAGAAAAAATACTTGGCAGCAAAAACGAAGTTTACTTCATTTATTTAAAAAAAATTATTATAAATAAAAAATATTAAATTATAATAAAAATTGTAATAAAAGTAATAATAATTATAACAATCATAATGATATGGTAATAATAATGAAAACAATAAAAATAGTAATAAAACGAATAATAATAGTAAAGAAAAGAAAAAAATAATAATAATACTTCGGACAGAAGAAATTATTATTATTATTATTATTATTATTATTATTATTATTATTATTATTATTATTATTATTATTATTATTATTATTATTATTAATCTTATTTATTTGAAACCTCAATGAATAGAAAACTGAAAAATTAAATTTTAAGATGAGTCGATCGACACGATGCCAATATTTGTGATGCAATGACGTCCAATATTTGTAAATTTAAATCTCTATTTATTTTTTTCACCTCCAATGAACCAATTGTAAATTTAATCATATCTTTTATATCGTTCTCACTGAAAAATAATTTAACAACAGTTGGAATTGATTTTTCCAGGCATGATTGAATTTTTAATTGTAAATCCAAAAGTGTCTCGTCACATTCTTTATCAGCTAGACTTGAACTCACTGGTAATGCTTCACAGCAATCGTAAGCCAAACATACGATATCCTGTATAATAAAGTGGTTTTTTTCTTAATAGTGAAATAAAATTCGAAATATTAAAATTAAGAAAAAAAAATTTTAAGAAATAAAAAACTTTAAAAAATAAAAAATTTTGTTTTTAAAATAAGGTAAAATTTTTATTAATGGAAAAATATTTTTACCTGTATTATTGGTTCAGTAATGTTACCAAAAATAAGTTTGAAGCACTTAATGAAACCCTCATGTTGAAAGGATCTACTTTTATTGACACCAGAGAGAATTTCACAGGCCAAATCAATTCCAGCGCATGTTAATGATAAGTTAGTGTCAAGTTCGTCTACTTCTGGAATAATTTGTAAATAATTTAAATTACATTGTAAACTTTATAATAAAAATTAAAAACAATGTTTTTTAGTTCGTAAAAGTGACATTTTGTAGGTAAAAAAAAAGAATTTTGTTTTAGAAACTAGTAAAAGTCAATTTTAATAAAGAAAATAAGTGAATTCAGAAATTATTTCTATTTATTATCAGTAGAAAAAGTCCGTTACAATCAGACATCAACATATTGTAATTTAATAACTAGTAGTAAAAGTCACTTTCAAACAGACGGAATTAATTAAAATTCCTTGTTTTTTTCAACAACAAACGTCAATATTAATAATCATACAAATAGTTTTTAGAATTTTTTTTTGTATTATCAGTAGAAAAACCCAATTATAGTCGGACTGCATTTTTTTATAAACTAATTTTAAGTAATATAAAACAATTATTGTCTAATAAGGAGAAAATTTTTTGTAAAAGGAACAAAAAAAAGGTTTTTAAGTAGTAAAAATCAATGTTAGTCAGACAAAGAATATTTAGCGTTCGTTTCGAATTATTATCAGTAGCAAAATTCGGTTACAGCCAGACATCTATAATTGAATAAATTCTATTCTGAGAAACACAAGAAATATATTGTAAATCGAATTTTCAGTAGTATAAGTCAGTTGTTGTCAGACACAGCATTTTTAATGTTTGTTTTGATTTATTATCAGTAGAAAAATTCGGTTACAGCCAGACATGTAAATATCTATAATTTAATAAATTATATTCTGAGAAACGCAAAAAAGATATTTTAAATCGAATTTTCAGTAGTATAAGTCATTTGTTGTCAGACAAGAAGAAAACTTCGATTTTTCAGGTATTAATTTTTAGAAGTCAAACGATCAGTAATTGTTTACTTTTTAAGCCTAATGTTAAGTAGTGTATGGTATCTGTAGCTAGACAAAAAAATTTAAGTCAGAAAAATATTTAAAAAATGCTTTTTTCAGTAGTAAAAATTAATTTCAGTCAGACAAAGAAAGTTTTTACTATTTAGTAAGAGTAGAAGAAGTGAATTACAGTCAGACATCGATATCTATAATTTAATAAATTATATTCCAAGAAATAGAAGAAAGATATTTTAAATCGAATTTTCAGTAGTACAAGTCAGTTGTTGTCAGACAAAAAGAAAACTTTGGTTTTTCAAGTAACAATTTTCAGTAGTAACGCAGTCAGTCATTGAATATTTTTCAATCTTATTTTGAGTAGTGTGTGTCACGTACAGTCAATCAAGAATAAATTTAGGCAAAAAAAAATTAAAAAAAAAATTTTTTTAAGTAGTAAAAGTCAATTTCACTTTTGACAAAGATTATTTATAGTGATTGCTTCTATTTATTTATCAGTAGAAAAAGCCCTTTATAACCAGACATCTATAATTAAATATTAATTAAATTCTTTTTTTAGAAACTAAAGAAAGATATTTTAAATCAAATTTTCAGTAGTATAAGTCATTTGTTGTCAGACAAGAAGAAAACTTCGATTTTTCAGGTATTAATTTTCAGAAGTCAAATAGTCAGTAATTGTTTACTTTTTAAGCCTTATTTTAAGTAGAGAAAGACATCTGCAGTCGGATAAAAAAAAATTTAGTGAGAAAAAAATGAAAAAAATTTTTTCCAATAGTAAAGATCAATTTTAGTCACACAGAGAATAGTTAAAATGATTGTTTTGATTTATTATGAGTAGAAAAAGTCGATTACAGTCAGACATCTATATCTAATATTTAATAAATTATATTTTGAGAAATAGAAGAAAGATATTTTAAATCGAATTTTCAGTAGTGTAAGACATTTGTTGTCAGACAAGAAGAAAACTTCGGGTTTGTGAGGAACAATTTTTATTAGTAACACAGTCAGTCATTGATTATTTTTTAAACCTAATTTTGAGTGGTGTATGTCACCTATAGTCAGACAAAAAAAATTTAAGTCAGAAAAAATAAAAGAAATGCTTTTTTCAGTAGTGAAAATCAATTACTGTCAGACAAAGAAAGTTTTGATATATTATCAGTAGTAAAAGTCAATTACAGCCAGACATCTATATCTATAATTTAAAAAATTATATTCTGAGCAGCACAAAAAAGATATTTTTAATCGATTTTACATCGAGTTTTCAGTAGTACAAGTCATTTGTTGTCAGACAAGATGAAAACTTCGGTTTTTCAAGTAACAATTTTCAGCAGTAACACAGTCTGTCATTGAATATTTTTTCAACTTTATTTTGAATTGTTAATGTCTCCTATAGTCAGACAAGAAAAAATTTTAGACAAAAAAATAAATAAAAAAAAGGTTTATTTCAGTAGTAACAGTCAATTTTAGTCAGACACGGAATTTTTAATGTTTGTTTTGATATATTATCAGTAGAAAAAGTTGGCAACAGCCAGACTATAATTAAATAAATTTTATTCTGAGAAGCACAAGAAATATAATTTAAATCAAATTTTCAGTAGTGTATGTCATATGTTGTCAGACAAGGAGAAATTTTTTTTTTCAATTATATATTTTCAGTAATAAGCCAGATAATGATTATTTTTTAAATCTAATTTTAAGTAGTGTATGGCACCTGCAGTCAGACAAGTAAAACTAGTCAAAAAGACAAAAAAAATGTTTTTTCAGTAGTAAAAATCAATTTTAGTCACACACAGAATATTTATAGACAGACAAAAAATCTTCGTTTTTTCAGGTATATATTTTTAGTAATTAGCCAGACAATGATTATTTTTTACACGTAATTTTGAATTGTTAATGTTACCTATAGTCAGACAAAAATAAATTTTAGTAAAAAAAAATTTTTAAAAATGTTTACAAGTAGTAAAAATCGCTTTTAGTCAGACAAAGAATATTTACAGTAATTGTTTTCGATTTATTATATCAGTCAAAAATATCAATAACAGTTGGACAACCATAATTTAATTATTTATACTCTGAGAAATACAAAAATGCTTCTCTGTCAAATTTTAAGTAGTATACATCTGTTTTAATCAGACAGAAGTAAGCAAAAAAAAATTTGCACTTTTCTTAGCAAAGTCAATTTTAATCGGACAAATAGAAACTATAGTATTTATTTACTTTTTTTGAAAAAAATCACAGTCAGACATTAATTATTTTTAAATTCGTTTTTAAGTAGTATATGTCAGTTGTAGTCAGACGAGACTTTGTTTTCACTTACTAATCGTTGTGAAATTAAATTTTGATCGGACAAACGAATTTTTTTACCAATTTGTTAATATTTGTAATATATGAATTATTATTTTAAATGCAATTTAAAAAAATGCAATAATTACCGTCACAAGATCTATTCATTATTTCCAACCAATGTGCCAATAATTCGGAATCTCCACTTCCTTCAACGGAATCAACTGCTTCGTATGCCGTATCAACGGAACAATAATCCGTTCTATCAGCAACCAGTTGACGCAAGTCTTGTGCAAAATTTTTCTAGAATTTAGAAATTTTACCTTTCAAAGAAAATATTTATATAATATTTTTTTTTTCGATTTTTTATGCCCAATTTTTATATTTTTAGAATTAATTATTAATTATTACTATATTATACCTGGAGAATAATTAATTTTACTAAAATAAATAAATAATAAATAATTAAATTCAGTATTATTTAATTTTCATTATAAATTTTTAATAAATATTTAATAAGTTACAAGCGAATTTTTAAAAAGTTGCACTAATTTTTTTTTATATTTAGAGTTTTGCTTTTTACTCACATTTAAACTGACGTCTTGAACAAATCTCCATGGCACGTCGGCAAGTGACATTAGCATGGGTTGAAAAAATGGATTTTCCTCTTCCTGTTGTTCCATTTCAAAACCAGGGACTACTGTTTTAAGTGTATTAAAAACCCCGCTGACAGTTTTTGCGAGAAATCTATCAAAACGAGGAGTCACAATATCAGCTTTCTTTCCAATTCCACTGTCGGGTCGTAAGAAACGACGTAAAATATTTGGCGCCTCATTACCCAGACGTGAACATATTGTCTTTAAATAATTCTCCATTTCAGACCTTCCACCCTCAGGAAGCACAATATCCGACATTAATTCTCTGAGTCCTGGAAACTGGAAGCAAAAATTTTTCTTTTCATTATTAAGCTTATTTCTTAATTCTTAATTAAAATTCTAACTGTTTAGAAAAATTAGTTTAGATTTTAGAATATTAAAAGATTTGTTTCCCTCTAACTCAGAACTTATTTCTAAAAAGATCTGTAAAAATAAATTTTTTTAATTTTGTATTATAAATTTTTAATAATATTGTAAAGTGTAAAAAATTATTTTTTAAACTTTTCAATATAGAACAAAACTTTTTTTACATACTCAATATTGCATACATTTTATGTCTAGAGGGGTGTGTAAGTAGTAAAAAAAATTGTTTCTAAGATTACAAATTGTTATAAACAAATTAAATGAACAATTATACTCTCGACGAAGATAGGACTAAAAATAATTTGTTTGTCATTTTTGCGCAGAAATGAATCAAATTTATTACGATTAATGTTTCTTCTAAGCAGCCTAGAGATTATCCTCGCATGAAAATGTTATTTTGCAAATAACTTAAATATTTTTATAAACAAATTATATAAACAATTTAAATTTAGACTAAGATATACCTAAAAGAAATTGTTTTTTTTAATAAATTTACTGTAGCTTATTGTAAATTAACTTTTTTTTAATGAAACTGATGTTTTGCGATAATTTTTCTTAATTATTTAAACAATTTTCATAACCAATAGCATTTTAGGGAAAATTTTTGGACACAAATATATCGAATTTTTACAATTAAGTTTTCTAAGTTTTCAATTATAGACAAAAAACAATTCTAGGTCAAAACTACTTTTTTCCAATGAAAAATAAAAAATAAATCAATTATAATTTCAGTAGAGAAAGATAATTTTAGTCAGACAATACTGATACAGAGAATTATTATTGAATTATTATTAGTAGTAGTGGTCGCTTATGAATCAGACATAATATACTTTAAGAATTTATTATTAGTAGTATAAGTCAATATTAAACAGACAAACTGAAAAACAGTGTTTTTTTAGTAGAAAAAGTCAATTTTAGTCAGACAAACTGAAAAATAGTATTTTTTAGTAGTATAAGTCAATATTAAACAGACAAACTGAAAAACAGTGTTTTTTTAGTAGTATAAGTCAATATTAAAAAGAAAAACTAAAAAACAAGTGTTTTTTTAGTAAAACAGTCAAATTCAGCTAGACAAACTTAAAAATAGTGTTTTTTCAGTAGAAAAATTCAATCTTAGGCAGACAAACTTAAAAACAGTGTTTTTTAGTAGTATAAATCAATATTAGAAAGACAAACTTAAAAAATAGTGGTTTTTTAGTAAAAAAAGTTATATTTAGTCAGACAAATTATTGATACACAAGATTTATTAAATTATTATTAGAAATAAATCGTCACTTTTCAGTCCGAAATCATATTTCAAAAATTTAATATTAGTAGTACGAATCAATATTAATCAGACAATCTTAAGATAATAATATTTTTTTCAGTAGTAAAAGTCAATTTTTGTTTGGGTAAAAATAATTTAAAATCAATCATTATTTTAGTAGAAGATCTTATTCGTCGATCAGACAATGAAAAAGTTATTTTTACTTTCAGTAGTAAAATTTTCATTTATGTTCTGATAAAAATAAAAAAAAAATGGTTTTCAGTAGAAAAATTCCATTTTAGTCAGACATAACTATTTAAAATTTTGTTATCAGTATAAGTCCCGTTATATACCAACCAATTATATTCAAAGAAAGGTTTTTCATAAGAAAAATCAATTTTCTTTCAGAGAAAAATAAAAGAGATTATTTTTATTTCAGTAGAAAAAAACAATTTTAGTAAGACAAAATTATACACAAGATTTATTGAATTACTATTGGTAGTAGTGCGGTTACTTTTCAATCCTAAATAGTAGTAAAATTCATCTATGTTCAGACAAAAATTAAAGAAAATATGTTTTTCAGTAGAAAAGGTCAATTTTAGTCAGACATAACTATTTGAAATTCCATTATTAGAGTAAGTTCGTTAAAGACAAACCAATATTCGAAAAAAGGGTCTATTTTAGTAGAAAAAGACGATTTTAGCCAGACAAACTGATACACAGGATTTATGGAATTATTATTAGTAGAAATGGTCACTTTTCAGTCAGACATCATATTTAAAACAATTTGTATTGGAATAATAAATCAATATTAGTCAATGTTGAGAAAAATATTGTTTTTTCAGTAGAAAAAGTCAATTTTAGTCAGACAAACTCAAGACAAAAAATGGAGAAAAAATGTTTTTTTTAGTACTGAACATTAATTTTTGGCAGACAACTCGTAACATTTTCACGGAAAAAATAACCAAAATTTTGGAAATTGACAGTAAAATAAATATAACAAATTTTGGAAATTTTAAAAAAGAATACTTTATTTATGACAAAATATTAACTAGTAAAAGTAAATTGCAATTAAAAAATCGAAAACAAACAGACACTCAATATTTTAAAAACTTTTTTATCAATTGCCATGGACAATTTTGTTTATACAAAAATAGAACATATTATTTTTTGTTTATTTAGTAGTAAAAGTCATTTTTAGGTCAGACAAAGTTAAAAATTAAAATTTCAAAAATGTGTGGTAAAATAAATTAATTTTAGTAAAATAAATTTTTTTCAACATTTCAGTAGATAAAGTCAGTTGCAGTCAGACGGAAATAGAAAATTAATTTTTTAATTTTTTAGTAGTAAAATTTAAGTTTAGTCAGCCAAGGGAATAAAATCAATTTTAGTCAGACATTAACAAAAAAAAATCAACTTTTCAATTTTCAGTAGTAAAATTTAATTTTAGTCAGCCATTGATGAAATAAAAAACAGCTTCAATAATTTATCAACAGACAGAATAAATTGTTATTTAAAAAAAAGTTATATTTATTAAAAAATACCTCCTCGAGTGATGCATGAAGTTGTACAAAATCAGAATATCTTCGTCTTGTTGTTGTACAAGTTGTTTCAAATGTATAGACACCACGTTGTTCAACATCATCGAATTGAATACAATAAAGAATTTGTTGTGAGCCCTCAGCTGAAAAATATGATTCAATACGTGGAATCGATATATTCGTAAATGGACTCTCTAAATCACAAAATCCAAATTTCTCCTCCACTTGTCTGTAAATGATATTATTTTTTAGATTTTTTATACATAAATTTAATTATTTTTAATAATAATAATAAAAATTAAAATTAAAATAAAAATAAAAAATAAAAATAAAAATAAAAATAAAAATAAAAATAAAAATAAAAATAATAAAAATAATAATAATAATAATAATAATAATAATAAAAAAATAATAATAGTAATAATAATAATAATAATAATTTACAGTAAATTTTCTAAAAATTTAAATACATATTTGTTTACATACAGTGGAGTTGTTGCTGTTGATTTTTGTTGTAAAAGATTTCTGAGTCTTGCAATTGTTGATGCAAAATCAGTGGGTTCTTCATAGATTGGCGATATTCGATCTTCATCGAGTTCAATTTCAATTTCTGAATTAACACCAACACCATCGCCCCAAAGTCCACGACGATGTTGCGCTGTATGTTCAATTGGCTCATGAAAATGTTGCGGAGAATTTTTTTGAGATTCATGAAAATTATTACTCTCCTCAATTCTAACTTCAGGTAATTTTATAAAATTTGGTTTCGTTAATGGTCGCGCTATTGCTGCTGCTGTCGCTGAAGCTATACCATCACTCAATGCTGTTGGAATAATTCCCTAAAATTGAAGAAAAAAAAAATTATTTTGTAAATTATTTCTTTATTATTTGCACCTTTAAAAATTTGGATTTAAGTAGTAATGGTCAATTTCAGTCAGACTGTGTAAATTTACACTACAGAGAAGAATAGAGCTGTGCAAAATAATTCGAACCGAACTATTCGAATTTTTTCGCTTTGTTCGAATGTCGAATATTTGACATTTGACAATAACACATTATTTAAGTACTAAATTTGTCTGACTAATGCTGGCTTTTACTACTGTCTAGAGAATTAAAATTGTTTATAAAACATGAATTACTTTATAATTTTGAATATAAATTGAATTTGTCGAAATTAAAATATACTTTCTTTTTTGGTTTTCTATTTTTTTCAAGAAAATTTAATTTAAGAGACATTTATTTTTCATAATTCAAAATTAGTTAAATCAACAAATAAAATAATAAATTTAAGTAATAAATAAAAATTAGCAGCATATTTTACAAACTAAAAAATATTTTAAAATGATTGTTACTCCAACTTCTCTCATTGTATTAATTAATAATATATAAATTGCAATCAAAAGAAAGAAAAAATATGATTTTCATTAAAAAATATATCTATATTTATGTAAAATAAATTTAATTGTATGGAAATTCACAGAAATTTCTCTTGAATCTCCCGGTAATTTCTCGGAAGTAAAAAAAGCGAAATAAAAATAATTTTTTAAATTTTTTCTTAAATTTTATTTTCCTAATAACAATGAGAAAAATGGGAGAAAATCTCCAAATAAATATGACGTCATTAGTTCCTCTACGTCATTGTTTTTGTTTTGTTTATTTCCCGCGAGAAATAGAAATAAATTTTGTAATTTTTGTTTGTAATTTTATTTTTCTCATAAGAGTGAGAGAAAAATACGAGAAAATCTCTAAAAAATATGACGTCATTATCTTCTCTACGTCATTACTTTTGTCCTGCGTTTATATCCTCCAAAATAAAGAAATAATTTTTGTAATATTTTTTAAAAAAATTTTATTTCTCCATAAAAGTGAGAAAAAAAATTTAGGAGTAAATTTGCAAAAAATATTACGTCATCAACTCTTTTACGTCATCTGTTTTTTACCTTTTATTACCCGCGAAATGTAGCAAAAATAAAATTAAAAATTTTCGAAAATTTTATTTTTGCCCCTAAAAGTGCGAAAAATGACTAAATTTCGAGAAAATTAAAAACTCATTAAATATCAATTAACGGTAATAGTTAATGACGTGACAGACATTTCTTCAGTTGCGAGTTTACCTCGGGCCGGGTAACACCTCGCTGTCGGATATTTTTTGGGGACGTTGGTAAAATTTTGGATACTTTGGATATTTTTTGGTGCCTTTGGATAAATTTGGATGGACTGAAATTTTTTGGTTTTTTTCGGATAAATTCGACAAGTTTGGATAAATTTGGATAAATTTGGATATTTTACAAGAAGAAGGCACATTTATCCAAAAACATTGGGAAGTGACGTGGGGGTGAAACCAAGTGCTCAAATTCGGTTAAATTTAAATTTTTGATCTTTTTTTTGGGAGTGTTAGCTCGGGAAGTGCGCGTGCATTATTATTTATATCCGAAACGTATTGTAGGGTCTGTATTTTTTTCATAGAATTTATTTTAAACTAAATTCATTCTTTTCTATCGGGAGGGTTCGCAATATTTAAATCCGCGATCGAATATATAAAAAAAATTGCTCAACGTTTTTTTCTTTTTATACAAGTGGACCGAAAGTGAGTGTTTTTTTGTTGTTCTTTTTCAAAATAACAATTTCCAAGAGCTTCTCCAGGATAGGCAGCAGCCGTAAGCAGAAACTGACCGCAGTAAGTTAAAAAAAAGCTTTTTAAATTTTTTAAATTAAAATTTATAATTTTAAATGATTAGGAAAAATTTTATTTTTAATTTTTAGTGATTTTATTTTGCATTTCTAATTGTTATAAAATTTTATTTAAATTTTTTCAAATTTTAATTAATATTATTTTTATTTTTTCAAATTTTTACTTTCTCAATAAGAGTGAGAGAGAAAGAGAAATTTCAAAAAAAAATATGACGTCATTATCTCCGCAACGTCATTGCTTTTGTTTTGTTTATTTCCTGCTAGAAATAAAAATAATTTTTGCAATATTTTTGAAAATTTTTACTTTCTCCATAAGAGTGAGAGAGAAAGAGAAATTTCCAAAAAAATATGACGTCATTATCTCCGCAACGTCATTGCTTTTGTTTTGTTCATTTCCTGCTAGAAATAAAAATAATTTTTGCAATATTTTTGAAAATTTTTACTTTCTCCATAAGAGTGAGAGAGAAAGAGAAATTTCCAAAAAAAATATGACGTCATTATCTCCACAACGTCATTGCTTTTGTTTTGTTTATTTCCTGCTAGAAACAGAAATAATTTTTGTAACTTTTTTTTGAAAATTTTTACTTTCTTCATAAAAGTAAGAGAGAAAGAGAAATTTAAAAAAAAATGACGTCATTATCTCCCCTACATCATTGTTTTTGTTTTTTTTTGTTTCCTGCGAGTAATAGACACAATTTTTGAAATTTTTTTTTAACTTTATTTTCTCCATAAGAATGAGAGAAAATGTGAAATTTTCAAAAAGTATGACGTAGAGAAAATGATGACATTTTCTCTACGTCATTGTTTTGTTTATTTCCTGCGAGAAATGGAAATAATGTTTGTAATTTTTTTAAAATTTTATTTTTCCCTTAAGAGTGAGAGAGAAAGAGAAACTTTCAAAACAAACATGACGTCATTATCTCCACAACGTCATTGCTTTTGTTTTGTTTATTTCCTGCGAGATATAGAAATAATTTTTGGAATATTTTTGAAAATTTTTACTTTCTCCATAAAGAGTAAGAGAGAAAAAGAGAAATTTCCAAAAAACTTGACGTCATTATCTCCTCTACGTCATTCTTTTGTTTTTTTTATTTCCTGTTAGAAATAGAAATAATTTTTGTATTTTTTTTTGAAAATTTTTACTTTCTCCATAAGAGCAAGAGAGAAATTTCCAAAAAAAAATAAAAATATGACGTCATTATCTCCTCTACGTCATTTCTATTGTTTTAATTATTTTCTGATAGAAATAGAAATAATTTTTGTAACTTTTTTGAAAATTTTTACTTTCTCCATAAGAGTGAGAGAAAGAGAGAGAAATTTCCAAAAATATGACGTCATTATTTCCACAACGTCATTCTTTTGTTTTGTTTATTTCCTGCGGGAATTAAAAATAATTTTTGTAACTTTTTTGAAAATTTTTACTTTCTCTATAAGAGTGAGAGAGAAAGAGAAATTTCCAAAGAATATGACGTCATTATCTCCACAACGTCATCATTGCTTTTGTTTATTTCTTGCTAGAAATAAAAATAATTTTTGTATTTTTTTGAAAATTTCTACTTTCTTTATTAGAGTAAGAGAGAAAGAGAAATTTACAAAAAAATATGACGTCATTATCTCCGCAACGTCATTCTTTTGTTTTTTTATTTCTTGCTAGAAATAGAAAAAATTTTTGTATTTTTTTTCTAATTTTACTTTCTCTATAAGGATGAGAAATTAAAAAAATGACGTCATTATCCCCTCTACGTCATTGTTATTGTCCCGTTTACTTTCTGCGAGAAGCAGAAATAATTTTGGTTGTTTTTGAAATTTTTTTTTTTCTTTAAGAGTCAGAGAAAAAGCGAAAGCTTAAATTAAAAAAAAATGTTACGGCATTACCCCTACGTCATCTATTTTGTACATACCATTTATTACGCGTGAAATATGTAAAAAATCATTTAAAAATTTTCGAAAATTTTATTTTTGAAAATATGAGAGAGAAAAATGTGTAAATTTTGAAGCAATTAAAAACTCATTAAATATCAATTAACAGTAATGGTTAACGACAGGACAGACATTTCTTCAGTTATTAATGAACCTCGGGCCGTGCAACACCTCGCTGTCGGTTTATTTTGGAGCTGTTTGGATACGTTTGGATACGTTGGAAAAGTTTGGAAACACGAAACATTTTTGAATAAATTTCAATCTATTGGACGTTTTTGGATGAATTTGGATATCTTCCAAAAAGAAGTGCATTTTTTCAAAAACATTGGAAAGTGTCGCTGACACTTTTTTGTGAGTGTTAACTTGGGAAGTGCGTCATCGAACGAGAGCAGCTTCAGGGATGATCTCGAGAATGGGCTGAGACGTCGCAGTGAGTTAAAAAATTTTTTTTTTTTTTTTTAAATTGAAATTTATAATTTTTGAATGGTTTTTTAAAAATTCTCAGTGATTAAATTTTTTCAAATGTTAAATTATTTGTATTTTAATTAACTTTATTTTTTCCAACTTTAAATAATTTTATGTTAATTTTTGTAAATTTAAAATAATTTTATTTACATTTTTTCCTAAATTTAAATAATTTTATTTACATTTTTCCAAAATTTAAATAATTTTATTTTAATTTTTGCAAAGCTTACATAATTTTATTTACATTTTTCCAAAATTTAAATCATTTTTTTACATTTTTTTGTACTGTTTATAAAAAACAAGAATTCAAATTTTTGAAAATTTGCTTAAAAAGTCATTTTTTCCCTAAGAGTGAGAGAGACAAATGATAATTAAATTTCCAAAAAATTAATCGTCATTATCTATTCTACGCCATAGCCATTGTCCTGATTATTTCTTGAAAAAAATTTTTTTTTTTCCATAAGTGTGAGAGAGAAAGAAAAGGAAAAAATTTACAAGAAATGTGACGTCACTAACTCCTCTACGTCATTTTCATTGTCCTTTTTATTTCCGGTGAAAAGTGGAAATAATTTTTCAAATAATTATTGTAATATTTTTGAAAAATTTTATTTTTTCAATAAGAGTGAGAGAGAGAAGGAGTAAATTATAAAAAAATTTACGTCATTACCCTCTTTACGTCATCTCTTTTGTCCCTTTTTTTACACGCGAAAATTTTGAAAATTTTATTTTTGCTCATAAATGCGAAAAATGACTAAATTTCCAA